CTGTTGTCATGTACAGTAAGCAAAGCAACGACAGTGTGATATATTGCTTGCATGTTATATTTTTGGCAAATTGCAATTAGTAGTTTTAATCCCATATATGTATCATGTTCGATGAAGAAAAAATGTGTTCCCATCAGTAGCAAAGCCTGTTTATTTTCTGCTTTGCAAGTGTCTTCAGAATTGAAAGTCCCGTTGTTGTTATTGTTGGCAGTTTATGTCGTTATTTCAAAATGTCCATTCTTTGTAATATTTGTTTTAAGTTTGCTTGCTTGTTCAGAGATTTGACCTGTAAATTGTATGGTAAGTAATGGTATCGAAGTATAAGATTCGTAATAGTTAAAAAAAAAAAAATCCATAGTTGGGAATCACAATACCATTACCTTATGATTAAGCAATTAAGAACAAATAAGTGTGCCAAATATGACTCAGTTAAATATGGATCCTAAAATGCATTTTGTTTTTTGTGTACTAGAAAACTATTAACAACTAAAGATGCACATGGTTCGATAGAGTCATTGTTATGGTTAACCATTATTGTTATAAGATTGCTATGGAATAAACCACTATCTTATTGTTATTAGTTGTATGTTTAACCATTTTGTATAATATCATTTTCTGTATGACTAAGAAAATAATGAAATCAATAGATTAATGAAATACGATGGTTTTAGTAAAACTTACATTAACCTTATTACTTGTAAAGTGGTGTGATCTTTGTTGGTTGCTTTTACAATGATTCATTTTAGAATTTTTTATGGTAATTGTAACAGACATGTGGGTTGTTTTTTTGTTATTTTGAAAGGAATCATGATGTCTTGGTGCTCTTTTTTGGGTGCAAGTATATGAAAATTATGTTGTTGTTATGGTATCTCTGATTTATATAGTCCGCGTGTGGGTAGTGAACAATTTTTTTTTTTTTTCAATTGCTTAGATAATGTTCTATTAATTATTAATAGGAGTCAATGTTGTTATCTGAATCTGGTTTTTAATAGTTTTGTAAATTAATGATGGTTGTATTAATTATTTAATGTTAAGTATTACATATATTTAAATGTAAACGGTCCACATTCATGTTAATTTCTATATAGGTATATTAAGCATTTGAGACATTTGATTAATACGAATTTTTTTAAACCAGTGGGAAACGGATCGTGTTTCATCAAAATAAATGTCTTCTTTTATTAATTCCATTAATATTGTATAAATATCTATATAAATAGTGTCATTTATTTGATCAACACTTTAATAAAAATTGTACGTTAAGAATGACATTAAATATCACAATATGAGATATCATCAATATATCAATCACATCAATAAAAAAATAAGTACATTAACCCATAATGAAAACTAAATTCTAATATCCTGATTTTTAATAGTAATGTCAAATAAAAAAATATCACATAATAGTACAGTGCATTGATCAACAATAAATAAACATGGTGATCTAATAATAATGATATCTTATTGGCACAGTTTTAAAGGAAACGGTAATAAATATTTTGTTAAATATTCAAGTAAGATGTTGTGATGATGTGATAATATATCAATTAATATAAAATATTTATACGGTTTGGCATTGGTCTTGTTTAATTGTTTATGTTTTATTGAGTATGTTAGTTTATTAATTAAAATTTTTTTGATTCACATTAGAGTATATTTTGATGTGTTTTTTTAATTAGGAATACAAAAGAAACAAATGGAATATGAATAAAGATGTTATAATAAATAAACATGGTTGTTTAAGAAGAATAAGATCTAACTGGCATGAGTTTAATAGAAAGGATAAGAAGAATAAATTGGAAAAATAATATCGATTGTACGATTAGACCATTAATATTCAGGTAGTCTTCTCAACTTACATGAGTGATTTAATAACATCTGTGTATAATTGATATTAATGATTATGGAAGTATAATTATTAATTTTATCTTAACATCTGGTCAATGACTTCTCTAAATCTGTTTTCGTAACTTCGTATCACTTTAATATTATGTAAATTATTTATTTAAAATTTAAAAGTATTTATTTGTTTTTTGAGAATACAAAAGGGGCTTTGGGAAAACGAATAAATATCTAGTAATAAGTAAACATATTGATTGAAAAAAAACATTAATAACTTTTTGGTTAAGAGGATACGAAACGGTAGCGAATGTAATAAATATTTTGTTAAGTATTCATGTAAAAAACGTCATGATGATATTATAATATATCGGTTGGATCGTGAATAATGGTTCGGCAATCGTGCTCCAAATGGATGTTATCGTTCAGAGTGGGATTTAATTTGGTTGATTAAAAACAAAAAATGATTTATCTTAACATCTGGTAATGACTTCTTTGAATTTGTGTTAGTATCACTTTAATATTATGTAAATTATTTATTTAAAATTTAAAATTTTTATTTTTATTTTTTTTGAGAATACAAAAGGTTCTTTGGGAAAATGAATAAATTTCTAGGAATAAGTAAACATGTCAATCGAAAAAAGGTTAATAAGTTTTTGAATAAGAGGATACGAAACGGTAGCAAACGTAATAATTATTTTGTTAAGTATTCAAGTGAGAAACGTCATGATGATATTATAATATATCGGTTGGATTGTGAATAATGGTTCGGCAACCGTGCTCCAAATAGATGTTATCATTCGGCGTGGGATTTAATTTGGTTGGTAATAGAATGAAAGTTTTTTTCGATATGCAATAGGAATGTTTATTTATAGATTTTGTTAATTTACATTATAATATATTTAGATTGATGTTTGTCAAATATGTGTAGACAATCCAATGAGTTTTAATTTGTATTTCAGAATAAATTAAAAAGCATTTAAATTTTTACATGTGTAATAAATCATATAAAGAAATCACTAAAAATTATATTTCATACATACTATTTGGTAATCTACGTTACATCTTGTACATGTGATATTTTCTAGCGATGTTGATCTGTCCCAATGTATATGATTTTGATTCTTTTTGTCGCAAATCCGAAATATTCTCCTTTTAATGAGAATTGTCGCAGTTGGAGTCATGAACTTGAGCACTTCCCTGCAATTTTTCAGTTTGTAGAATTGATTGGTTAGTTTCACTAATTTCATTAGAATTTTTACACGTCTACTGTCATGCATAGTGATTAGAGCAACAGTCGTCTGATACATTGCTTGCTGGTTATTTTGTTTGCAATATGCAATAAGTAGTTGTAATCCTCTATTTCTATCATGTTCCACGAAGAACAAATGTGTTCCAAGCAGTAGTGAAGCATGCTTATTTTCTACTTTTGAAAGGATCTTCAAAATTGAAAGCCCTATCGTTGTTATTGCTGGTAGTTTGTGTCGTTGTTTGAAGATGTTTCTTCTATGTAAGACTTGCTTTACGTTTGTCTGTTAGTTTAGAGATTTGCACCTGTAAATTGTAAGGTAAATAATGGTTTTTAAACACAAGATCCACAATAAAAAAAAAAAAAAAAAGTGTAAATAATAGTTTCAAACAGTTGGTAATCATAATATCATTACCTGTATGATCAAGAAGTTAACAATAAAAAAGTGTGAAAAATATGGTTTAGTTAAATATCGATTCTAACATGTATTTTGGTTTTTATGTATTAGAAAGCTATCAAGAACTAAAGACACAAGTGATTCGGCATAATTCGTTTCAATTGTTAGGAGTTAACATATGGTTTTCTATATAACTAACAAAACAATGAAATCAACAAATTAACGAAACATGATGATATTAGTAAAACTTACGTTAACCGTATTGCTTGAAGAGTGGTGTTGTTATTCTGAATTGCTTTTGCAATGATGTATTGCACAATTTGTGATGGTAATTGTAATAGATTTGTGGGTTGTGTTTTTGTTCTTTTGTAAGGAATTATGATGTTTTGGTGGCCCTTTTTTTTTTTTTGGTGTAAGTATATGGAAATTATAAAGTTGTTACAGTCTTAGTAGTTTATATAATTTTTGTGTAGATATTGGATAGCGAACAGTTTTCTGTGTGTTTGGATTTGGTAGATATTATCGTGTTAATTACTAATCAGAGTTAGCATTGTTATTTGAATCTCGTTTTTAGTATTTTTGTAAATTAATGATGGTATTTTTATTTTGTTGAACATTAATTATTTGATTTTGTTATATATATCAGATATTGTTACTTCATTGTTTATTCTACCAAGAAAAATTGATTATTCTGTTCAACAAATATACACTTTTTTTGGTCATAATCATTTAATGTTAAGTATTAATTTATCTTAAGTGTAAACGATTTGCATTCATCTATATCTCTATGTAGGTATATTAAGTATTTGATACATTCGATTAGTACGAATCTTTTTAAATTCATATAAATTAATGTATTGAATGATATTTTGTGCATTGTACATGGATTATGTCCATATCTTATGCAGGAGTCTGATGCTCTAAAAGTTCTATGAGATGATTGGGCAGCTGGTCAAATAAAAGAGGGTGCCTCTGTTGTAAGAAGATGGGAGGATTTGGGCACTGACATATTGGTGAAAATCTTCCTGTGTTTTGATGTTTTGTTGACTTTAGGGATTACTCACGTTTGCAATTCATGGCATTCAGCTTGCTGTGATCCTCTGCTTTGGAAAACTCTTGATTTGTCAATATTGAGATCAAATTTCATCAAAATCCCATTAGAGCCATATGTTTACGTGGATGAGTGTTCTGATAAGACACTCACTCGTTTGTTGAAGATTTTGTTGAGTCTCAGCCGGGGACATATAAGAACCTTGATTTTTCACTTCAATTTGTTTGTAGGGGAGGAACAATTTACTTATATTGCTGAAAGGTAATTTTTTTATGTTTCTATTTAAAACCTTGCTGAAAGGTAATTTTTTTTTTTAATTCTTGCTGTTTATTGACTGAGTTTTTGGCATTGCCTTTGGTACTAGTGATCATCATCTTTAATTTTCTTTTTGGTATAGTGAATTGGGAAGTAACCCTCCATATATTGTTGTCTGCAAGTGCCCTTAGCTGAGGCGTCTCGTTATGCCAGCTTGGAACAAAATAAAGAAGGATGTAATTTGCAAGACCATTCGTACATGGAGATCTCTTGAATCCCTGACAATGCCTAGTATAGTAGATTCGCCTTATCTTATAGAGGAAATAGCCCTAAATTGCAAGAACTTCAGTGAACTCAAGGTCATGGGTCCTTTTGACGTTCTCTTTGCTTCTACGATAGCCAAATTTCCAAATTTGAAGATTTTGAGCTTAAGATGCTCAATGATAGTTAAGGATGCCCTAATGCTTATATTGGATGGCCTACCAAATCTGGATGTCCTCAACATATCACATTGCCTTCTTATAGGAGGTCAATTGCTTCCTCCGCTGATGCTCGAAAAAATTATTAAGAAGCCAAATAAAATTATCTTGGAGAAGGCTGCTCGATTACATGAGTTCTTAACATGTACTGAGCACTCGTGCATCATGTGCCAGTGTACTTGAAGTGGTGAAAGTTTATGAGGTGGTACAAGTATGAGGAAGGCCTATGGAAAATGGATGAGGCGAGGTCTCTTTGATTAGAACATTGTAGAGACTATAATTTTAACATTTTGTTTTGCTTGTATGTAATATCTACATAATATGTTGTTGAATAAGCATATATAGAATTAGTCCATTGTGTTTTAGGTTGTCATCCTCCTAATGCTTTTGTTTTAGGTCGTCAACATTGTAATACTTGCATGATGATCATTTCCCATGGAAAAAGTATTATCTGTCTGCATAATTATGTACATATGGTAAAATTAAAATGGTTTCAAAGTAATATGCAATTGAGTATTTTATGTGTTTTCAATTCATGTTATTTATTTTGTAATTGTTAGTGTCAAATTCATCTCTATTGTCAGGTTTAGTATTTGATAGTGAGATTTCGAAAGAATCTTTGATTTTCCCTTCTTTTATACTTTGATGTTAAGTTATAGTGACATTGTTCGGCTGAAGTGGTAATATTAAAGTTTTACAGTGCATTGTCGTTTTGGTTTTGTAAAATTCATAAATAATGAAAAACGTTGTCTTTTAAAATGTTGTTGATATTTAAAGAAACTATGCGGATTTAATATTCAGTATTTTACTTGAAGTAAATTTGGGGATTTGGGGATGTAGGGTTTTCTTTATCAGTTTCAGCTTTAAAGGCATTTGTCCCAGTCCATTTGTCACGTTTTCCACGTCCTTCTTTTTATTTTACATTGGTCTAATTAATTTATCATCGATTTTAACTTTGATTAAAGTGCATGTTATTCTTACGAAGTTATGAGATTTGTTATTATTGTTATAAGAAGTTGTTGTTAGATGGTTGTGCTGATAATTTGTTGTGCTCAGGTTGTTTATTGGACTCTCTAGTAGTCGTGTTGCAAATTATTTTCTCCATAAATTTACTGCTAAAATTGGTGTCTTTCTTACTACGATTTTGTTTGTTTAGGTCAGGTTGTTTATTTGTTGTTCTAGTAGTCGCATTGCACATTATTTTCTCAGTAAATCTACTGCTAGAATTGGTGTTCTTCTCATTACGATTTTGTTTATTATCTTGTTGTATGTAGTGTATATTGTAATACTATCATTGTTTTATGAATTGATGTTATGAAATGCTAGTGGTACAAATGCTTTAGAAGTTACCATCATTGTTATCATGTAATTATCTATTTATTTTTCGAGACAGTTACCAAGGTTTTGGTATTCTCTTAGTACGTCTGAGATATTGTTGTTTTAATTTGTGTCTCTATCATGTATCACGAAGAATATATGTCTCTCAAGTAATAACAAGGTCATACAATTTCTATTAAGTTGAATGATTGTTTGTTTTCTCTATTTTTATTTATTTGATGATATTATTTTTTCATTGTAGTAATGACTTCCAAAAACTTGATGAAATTTATTTGAAGACTTGATTCCGAAGTTTTGTATAAAGGATGATCAAGTAGTGATTCCAAGTCAGAATTGTTAACGCCTTTACAGACTCCTGTTTTACCTACTTTAGCCTCCAATTCTGTGAAACCTAATTCTGGTTTCTACCATGTTAAATTGATTGAAGAAGAAGATAATCAGTCAGAAGAAATTCCATTATGTAAATTAGTGAAACGGCAGAAAACCTGTCAGCAAGAGGGTTCAAATACGAATTCTGAACGAAAATGGAAAAATCTTTCTACGGAAGAGCTTGACAACAAAACATTCAGCCTAAGGAAAGAGGTAACCTTTTTTCACTTTATCATGTGAGTATATACTATGTTTGGCATGACAACGTTAACGCGGTTTCATTGTTCTTGAAATAGGCTTATGAAGGTTTCTTAGAAATCAGAGAACGTTGGCTTGTTTCAGAAGATTTGAAAAAAGAAACGAAGTTGTGATTTTTGAGGTTCGCAGATTGGAAGAACAGTTGAAAATATCAAAGGAGGTGTTTGAAAAGGTCAAAACCGAATTCAAACATTGTCAAGAATCGTTTAGAAATGTTGAACAGTCTTTTGCAAATGAGTGGCAGCAAAAGGAGGCATTTAAAAAGAAAAGTAATGAATTGTTTGAAGAAATGATAACATCAAATCTTTAATTGCAGAAGCTGAGAAAGATAAAGAAGAGGCTTATGATTTGGTGTCAAAAATGTTTTTGGCCACCAGAAAAGCTTATGTCAAAGAATATAAGCATAGATTCCCAAATGAGGATTCTAGTTTTTTAGAGACAATTGTGTTGAAAAATGAGAAGATGACGCCTAATAGAGATTATATTGATTGCAATGCTGTTGTAACTTTCTCTAGTCCACTTAATGCTACTTCTGTAAATTTTTAAACCGTTTGTTAAATATTTTGATAGTATTTGCCAATATTTTGACAATATTTGCCACGCAAGTGTTTATAGTTGTGTTATTATTACGGACGTGGATGTATTCAGTTGATGCTAATTTTTGTGTATATGGAAAAAAGTCTCCAGCCCATGTAATGTTACTTTTGTAAATATTTAAATTGTTTAATTGTACTATTGATGTTAAATATCTTGACGATGTCTGTCGTGCAAGAGTTTGTGGTTGAGTTGTGTATGTAAAAAATATGCATTTATAACACGTAATACATATAATGTAGCAATCATTGTATCTAACAATAATAATATAAAACATATAAATATCTTTGTATCAAGGAATTTATCTTTCTATATATATTTGAACGTTTAATGTGACCTTTTCATATTCATATAAATATCTTTAATTTTTCACATTAATCTCTCATAAACAATGTCTTATATTATATTAAATATATCAATCCTTTTTGTTATAAACAATGCTTTTTATTATATATAACATATCAGTCCCTTCAATTAAACACTTCTTTGAAAACAATATTTGTCAATGTTTCTACCGGTTCATCTTCTTGTAGGGGTAGCAGAATCTTGATACCTTGTCTTGAGGTTACTCTTGATAGTGTGACGTATAATTGACCATGTGTAAAGACCTGATGTTTCATATACAATCCTACTGTTTTGAGTGATTGACCCTGACTTTTGTTTATTGTCATACAGAGGCTACCTATCACAAGTAACTGTCTTCTCTTCAACCTGAAAGGCCATTTCATATCTGCATTCGACATTATTATTCTTGGAATTGTAACAATATCCCCAATATTTGACCCGATAATAATCATCACTTATATGGACCACTTTCTTAAATGGGTTATAATCAGTCTGGTTCCATTGCAAATACCATCAGATTGATTCAAATTACGCAGCAACATAATTGAAATGCCAATCTTCATATGCAATTCATGTTTAGGCATGTCGGAGCACATCAGAGAATTAAGAAATTTGATCGGATAGAGAAAGTCATCATCGTTTAACATATTTGCTGCTTTGCAAGTGATGTCTGAGTTGAAATACTTCTTTCCATCTGTTGGCAGACTCTAGATGATATAGTCGTTCAATCTATGAACTGTCTCATTTTTGGGTGTCAATATTGCTCGCTCTCTCATATAGTCAATATTATTTATTTGATCAGATAAATCTGGAAAAACAGCATTCATAATTGTTTCTTCGTGACTAGTATGTTGATTGATTTTCAAGTCTTCAAGTATTTGGATGTAACTCTCGTCCTCTGCAACGTCCCTTCCTTCTCCAATATCAAGTAACCATTTGTCAAAAGTCTTCAAGTTATCCAATTATGTTGGGTTTACCAAGTTTGTCTTCAATCTCATGTTCTCTGTAAGTCTCAACACTGTTACATGTTTCCAAATGGTAGATGATGACAAATAGGCCTAGATTATGTCATGTTTTTTCCTTTTTGGTATAACTGGTAGAATCTGTCTGAAATCACCACCCAGGGCAACAATAAGGCCTCCAAATATTCTATTTGCATTTGATTGATCTTTTTCAAACAAAATATCTTTCAGAGTTCTGTCAAGAGCTTCAAAGCAATACCTATTTGCTATGGGTGCTTTATGCCAAATGATAAAAGCTATTTGCTCAACTAGTTTTGCCAATTATGTCCCCTTTTTTATATCACATGTACTTTCCTCTGTGATATCTAAAGGAATTCGAAAACATGAATGTGTTATTCTTCCACCGGATAGCAGCAATGCAACAATTCCTAATGTAGCTATAGCCAGTACAATTTACTTTCGGATCTTAATTTGGCCATGATTGTTGACCATAGGAAGGTTTTGCCTGCTCCACCGTGTCTGTAAACAAAAAATGGTGTTCCACTTTGATTGTTGATGGAATCAAGGATTGAATCGTATATGTGTCTATGGCATTGTTGAGAGCCTTGTATAAATCATTATGCAGTGTTTTCATGTTGTCAATATCATAATCTAATTCCTCAACAATTAATCTATTCTGTGAATTCTAAAAAATGGAACAGTTTGGAATTGGCATTCCAAGGATTTTCCTGCCTTTTTCATCAACTCTTCAATCTCCAACAATGCATGATTCTGAATTTGTTCCTCAGTGCATCTCAATTCTATCATCCGTATTTTCTGTTTAAGAATGTAGAGAATGTCTTCAAATAGGCATTCTGCATTTGCTCTCCACAAGTCTCTTAGACTCACCACTTCATTATATACAAGAATAGTTACAAAGAGTTGTCTTAACTGTCTTCCGGTAGCCCATGTTGATGCTTCATCCAAGCAATCATTCCACTCTTTATCATCATCCAACAATCCTAATGCATAACATGCATCTTTGAATGTACCAAATATTTCTCCGTTGACAGTTCGAATATCTTCAAATGATGTTACTCCTCTTACTAACTTCAAAAGCATTAATAATATTTCTCACCACTACCTGGAAATGCAAAATACACCCTACCAATACACCTTGATTTTTGTCGTGTGGACCATTTTCTTTCTGTATCCTTCCAAACCCATTTGCTTGGAAAATCAGGATAAGTCAATGATCTTGCAGATTGGTATCATTGATTACACTTCATCCATTCAGTCAATTTCGTTTGTGTAACAACCTTGCTTTCCAGAAGTTTA